GGACAGACAGCTCCCTGCTGTCTGTTTATAAGGTCTCTAATCCCCTTAATCACTTCCTAAAGGCCCCTCCTCTTAATACTATCACATTGACGATTAAGTTTGAACATTTGAATTTTGGGGGGACACATACTCATAATCACTTATTAAATGCAGGTGTCTCTGCTAAGCCCTGGGGTAGGAAGATAAGAGCAGACTGTTCCCCTCCAGGGGTTAGTAACAGACTCCAATTAAAGATCCAGGCCTGATCAGTGGCTTACAGCTATAATCCCAGCACTTTGGGAGGCCAAGGCTGGAGGATCACTGGAGACCAGGAATTTGAGTCCAGCCTAGGCAACAGAGCGAGACCTCATCTGTACAAAAATGAAGAAAATTAGCCAGGCATAGTGACGTGCACATATAGTCCAAGCTACTCCAGAGGCTGAGGCAGAAGGATTACTCGAGGCCAGGAATTCAAGGCTGCAGTGAGCTGTAATGATGCCACTGTTCTCCAGCCCAGGCAACAGATCGAGACCTTGTTTAAAAAAAAAAAAGTCCAGTTCTGTAGTCACTATGGCTGAATGCCTCCTGCGGCACGTGTGAGATACAAACCCCATTTTATATTTAGCTACTTATCCCGCATACACCCAGCACAGGCATCTGGTTGCACATTTTTCCTCTCTCTCGAGCCCAATTGCATGGCAGCCTTCAGAGTGTGCAAAGGCCACCTGCTGCATAGCTTTTCATGGGTGGCTGCAATGTCGCCATTAAAGGTTCCCTTCTAGAATGCAGCTTTTCCTGAGCTGGTGCCAGATTCGGTCCCTAAACAAATGGCATGAAGGGCTTTTGGAAATTTTTCCATCTTGTTGGGAGAAAGTGAGAAGATAAAGCCAGAAGTCACCCAGAAGTGAAAAAGCCCCAGAGGGGCTGGAGACGGTGCCTTCTTGGCTGTGCCACCCCCACACTGCCCGCCACCTGCTTGCTAGGGCCTCTGAGTTTAGTCTTTGAAAAAAATTTCACTGTGAGGTTTTAGAGGCATTAGGCTTCTAGAAATGAAAGCCAGGTGTTTTGTGGGGGTTTTTTTGATTGTTTGTTTTTTTGGATTGGTTTGGTTTGGTTTTGGTTTTTTAATTTACTTATTAGAAGTTATACCATACTCTTCATATATTCTAAGCGTATAATCCTAGCACTCTTCAATATATTCAGTAGATCTAACCCAATTATTGACCTCCACGCGCTTACCTGCTCACACAATGAAGGGATATAGACAAGCTGTCAGTAGCCCCAACCCAAAAGAAAAATAAGTAATTACTAAAGTACAAAAAGAGACTGTGCTCACTTTGTATACTTACTAATTCCCTTTATTTTGCTGGGAACTATTTTGAGTTCTCAAATCCAGAAATATATCATCGATTACGATATCTTACAGGCAAATTAAACTAAGATGAGTCGGTGCCACCACCCCCAGAGCAGGCAGGCTGTGGCATGTGTTCTCAAGGTGAGGTCGGGTGTGTGGAGAACGAACGTGGAGAAGTGAGTCAGGAGAAGCCCAGGCAGCCAGGGTTAAAAACATGCTCTTAACTTAAAAAGAAAATCACATTGAGTCTTACTGTGTGTGACCGGTCTATTCATTTGCTAAGGATGCTATGACAAAGAAGCACAGCCTAGGAGGCTTAAGCAATAGAAACTTATTGTCTAACAACTCTGGAGGCTGAAAGTCCAAGATCAAGGTGTCCACAGGGCCATGCTCCTTCTGAAGGTGTCAAGGATGGATTTGCTCCATGCCTTCCCTCGTTCCAGTGGTTGCTGACAATCTCTGGCGTTCTTTGGCTTGTGAAAACATCACCCCAATCTCTGCCTTCACCTTCACATGGCATTCCTCCTGTGTGCCTGTGTCCAAAGTTCTGCTTATAATAAGGCCACCAGTCCTTGGATTAGGGACCCACCTAATCCAAATAATAACCTCATTTGTGAACTTGATAGTAAAGACCCTCTCTCCAGATAAGGTCACATTCACAGGTACCCAGGGTTTGGGCTCCAACATATAAATTTTTGTGTGACACAGGGTCAACCCATTAAAACTTGTCTTTTTTAAAAAAAGAAATGGGATGATTTGTATGTTACTTAAGCTAGAGAATTCAGGAAACAACAGGGTTTGTCAGCATCACAGTCAGTCCCTTGCTGAGCTGCTTAGCATGGTGTCACAGTCCCCTGAAATGAACTGGGAGGAGCACCTGCTACCTGCTCCTTCCTATTTTAAATCTGAAGCAGAGATTATAACTCATGAGTATGGAACAAAAGCTGGTATCCCTTCACTGCTGAGCCGTGTTCTTATTTTTGTCTCCAATCCTAGTTCCAAATTACTCCTCACTATGACTTCGAGGTCCTCAGAAACCTGGAACCATGGACAACTTACTGTGTTCAAGTTCAAGGGTTTCTTCCCGATCGGAACAAAACCGGCGAGTGGAGCAAGCCTGTCTGTGAGCAGACCACTGAGGACGGTGAGTCATGAGGTCACAGCCTGTGGCTCTGCCTGCCCCAAGCGTTGTCAGCAGCTCTGCAGCTCTGCAGACTTTAGGGCCAGAAGGCTCCTTAGACACCATCGCCTCTGGCCTAGACTCCAACCCAGTTCAGAAAAATGTGTCACCCTGGTATGGTCTCCCAACCCTGGCTGATCAGCTTCGTGCCAGAAGGGGCCACCCCCTGCTGAGGCAGCTCAGAACCTCAGATCAGAGGAACTGATGGGAACCTTTTCTGTCGTCTGGACCAGGGTCTGTGTCCAGGAGCCGCCCTCCCCTGTGCCATTCTGCCCTCCCAGCCTGCCTGCAGCGAGGCTCATCATCCTCCTGAGGCCACCTTGTGCCCTGCCACCCTTTCCCCGGAGTCTTTGCTCCCAGGCTGAGCTCCTGCAGACACATGCCTGGCAGAGAGAGCCTAGAAACCTCGCCCCTGTCCTCAGCTGGTGCCACTTGTTTCAGAGCCCATTATAAAATAAAAAAAACAGTACCTCAGCATAGTCTTTCACATATGATATGGACTGCAGTGTCTAGCAGAACTCCACCAGGCTTAGTGTTTCCTAAAAGAAGCTGACAGAGGTGGGGGGGAGAGAGACGAAGATATCAGGTAGCCCAGACACTGAGTATTTCTGTGTATAGAAAGTGACTTGCTGCTACTGGTAGCGTTCATTCTCCTGGCCCCCTTATCCCCAGATGCATGGCCTTTGCTCGTGAGGGCTGTGCTGGTTGGCAGGGGGTGGGCACAGGGAGGTTAGATGCGGCCCGGTGCCAAACAAGGGGAGCTGGGACCATAGATAACCAGGGTGACATCCAGGATCTGTCAGAGATAAAGCGAGACATTAGCTAGAACAGTAAAAAAATTTTATTCAGTAATGACTGAGTAGAGAGGGGGCGTAAGAGGGGACGCAAGCAGAGTCAGGGAAGTGGAAAAATGACAAAAACTGGGTAGGAGGTTGGTCAATCTATTAGGCCACCTGTATTTACAAAGGCATTTGTCCAGGTTAGGCTTCTACACCTGCCCAGAGACAGGGAGACAGAGGCCCTGTCCTTCCTTATAACTTCAAAGGAGTGGCTCTCGGTCCTCATGAAGGACACTCCCAGGTTGTAGGAGATACATGTATGTCTCAGAAGAACAGAGGAAGGATTCACAGCTGTAAGCCCTTTCTAGAAGATGCTCTCAGAATGAGAGGTCAGAGGCCTATCATCAGGGTAAATTTTCTAGGCAGCCTTGAGTTTTTCTAGACAAGAACTCAGGAGGAGCTGTGTCACCCCAGGGATGTGGCCTCAGGCTGCTAGAAGCCAGGCTGGAGTTGGGGCAGATCTCTAGTACAGGCTTTTGAGGGAGTCGTTCGTGCAAGGCTTTATTCTCAGTACGAAACACGGTGCTGCCTACCTTAACTCAGGCCGGAGCCAAGAGGAGTCCGTTGGCTACTTCGGGGCAGAAGAGGTATATCCAGAACAGGGAGGCTCGTGGCTACCCTGCAAGTAGATAAAGTGGGTCAGAATCCTTGCTTACTCTTTTTATGTGTGTCAGGAATAATGTCAGAAACCAGACTCTGAGGAAGATAGGAAGGGGTACAGCTCTTTGCATACCCCTGGCCCTCCAGCCAGCCGCTGTGTTGCGGAGACATCCTCCAAGGTGCACACATGGCCCTGCTCTCAGGGATTGCCACTGGGCTGTGATGGTTACAATGGCCTTGGGATCACTGCGACCCAAGCTAGGATAAGAATGTGACACACGTTTTCCCTGGCAGACACGATCCCCTCCTGGCTGGTCGCTGTCATCCTCATCGCGTCTGTCTTTGTGGTCTTCCTGGTGCTCCTCGGCTGTTTCGCCCTGCTGTGGTGCATTTACAAGAAGACAAAGTACGCCTTCCCACCCCGGAACTCCCTTCCACAGCACCTGAAAGAGGTGGGTAGGATGAAGGAAGATGTGGGTTCGAAAACCTTGATTGGAAAGAGGTTTTTTTTCAGTCAGGGCCTCCTGATTCCAGATGATACGTTTTCCAGGAGAATGACACACATCTCACATGCTGGTCCGTTCTTTAGAGCCCATTTTAGAGCCCGTTTTAGGTACAGCCGTAAGGAAGGAGGCAGAGGTTTGTACCGCAAGCCGTCCCTGCAACCTGGAACCCTCCAGGCCAGGGGTCAGCAGACTTTTACTTAAAGTGCCAGACAGAAAAGATTTCAGGTTCTGCAAGCCAAAAGGTAAAACTGAAATTATGCATACTTATATATAACCCTTTAAATGTCATCATTGAGAAAAGCAAAAACCATTCTTGCCTCCCGGACCTTAGTTTGCTGCCCCCTGCTGGAGACTCACGGAAGCCAATCTCATGGGCGGGGACACGGCAAGAGGTCCAGGGGGGCACCACTTTCCCAAGCAGGTCACAGGAGTGAGGGTGACCAGTGCCCTCCTGCACCCATACGTTCTGCCTGTTGGGGAAACAGCACCCCATAATGCCTGTGGATTCTGAGTGCATGCCAAGTGCTGGAGGACGACGCCTCGGCCTCACTGGGTTTCATCCCCAAGCAGGCGTCTCGCCTGCATTGTCAACAGGCCACTCTGTCATCCTCCCAGGCTGGCAGCTACTGGGTGGTACCGTATGTGACACAACTGGGGGGTCCCAAGGTCACGTGCCCACTTTTGCCCACCTGTGCTGTCAGCAGGGCCCTTGGCTTGACATGATGTTTTATGGCGTCTATATTAGTTTGTTAGGGCTTCCATAACAAACTTCCACAAACTGAGTGTCTTAAACAGCAGAAGTGTATTGTCTCACAGTTCTGGAGGCTGGAAGTCTGAGATCAGGGAACCCCCAGGGTTGGTCCCTCCTGAGGGCTCTGCCTGCCTGTCGGGGCTATCATGCAGCAGTAGGACATTTTGGTTTGTGCCCACCTACTATGCCGACCTCATATGGAACGGGGCTGGCCTTTTTCTCCTTCAGCTGGTCGTAATGACCCATCCCCGTGTGGCTGTAGTGTGAGCAGACACAGAGACATTGGCGTAACAGGGGTAGGGGGCATGGGAGCCTGAGCCACCTGTGTGTGGCTGACAAGCACCCTTTGGCCCATCTTAGGACCTGCTGGGTCTGGCAGGCCTCCTGATGGCCACTTCTGAGCATTGTGACCACCCCTGGTGTCCCATGGCCAGAGGCTCTACTAGGTACCTTAGCACTCCAGGAACTGGTTGCCAAACAGGGTGTAATTATCCCCTGCAGATGGCCCAGCCTGGCCCCAGAACCCTGTGTCTGGGTGGCGATCTCTTGGGATCTGCCGTAAACACCGCCTAGCATCTTTCCCACCGCGGACAGTTGAGAGATCTGTTCCGTTAGCACGTTGTCATCGATAGGTATTGCACCAGTCTTGAGGTGGGGTGGGCTGCTTGTCCGTAGCCCGTACCTTCTGTGGGGCCCTTTCCTGCTCGGGGCCCCCTCAGAGCCGCAGCCTTCCGTGTCACTTGGCAAACACACCGGAGAGTCTTCCTTCGTGGTGGTGGGAGAGGTGGGCACAGTCATCGGTTCTTTAAAGGGGATGTCCTGGCAAGCCTCACTCCGGGGGACCCCTCAAACGTCACTGAGGTGGCAGGTCCCTGCACCATCACAGGATGAGTGTCCTACCTCCGCAGGGTGCGTGCCTTACCGATGCCTTGCCACTTCTTGCACTTCTGGTCCTATTAAGGTATTCCAACTGGTCAACTGATACAGGCCACCTCTGGGAAGGACACAGAACCTTGGCCAAGGCACCTGCCTTATGTAAAAGGCACCAGCTAGAAAGCGCCTCAGCTGTGAGCCATTTCAGCTGCTGGCATTCCTGGAAGCTGGGGAGACAAGCGCCCCAACATGAGGGGATGTGGGTAGCACAGCATCCACTGTGGATAGAAGTGGCCACATGACCACAGGCAAGTGTCTCAGAGCAGCTAGAACCTTCTAAAAAAGAGTGCCAGCACGACTACAGCACCGGGGTGAACTGAGAATCCTCTAGATTGAACTGCATATTTTATGTGAGCTTTTTGAGAAGCCACAGCTGCAGCAGGAAGAACAAAGAGGGCCGGGCCCTTCGGTCTGGGCAGAAGGTGTTTTGTTAACTGAGAACCAAGAGGAAGCAAAACTGTTCACCTGCTATTTTTGCTTCTGGCTTCGCCATCAAAGAGACTGGTCAGACAGGAAAG